GGCAGAACCAACCGTCAATTATCGCAGCGGATGGCCGAACACATTCCAAAATGGTTAGTGAAATCGATGACGCAACCCATGCTCAGTAATCAGACGATCACACGTAACCCGGGGTCATCAATTGCAAAACACCTCATGACAGCCAAACACATAGTTGACCCCGTTTCCTCTTTTAAACCATTGTTACGTAACTGCAATGCAAAGCTGTTGGCAATAAGCGAGGCGTTGCTAATCCGATTACATAACCCCGTGTTGTGCGCCCAAAAGTTGTTGATCCAATCAATTCACTTGCCGTGGAGTTGACCTATATTTTATTTTTAATTCCAATAGCCCCTGTCTAACTGTGCATGTCCGTTCTCAACGATTTACAAATTCCATGTGCTATAAATGTGCTTGTTTGTTTTACGTCAGCGATTGAGAAGATTAAACGAAATGTTAACATCTCGCGACATATGTCTTCTTTCGATCTTGATACGATGGATAAAGGGGACCCAGTGTTTCAAAGTTCACGCTTTGTTTGTTCTGTGCATGATGAAGTTTACCGTATGATTTTATGATCAGTTCGCTTTCTCAAGAACGTTTCACTGCACTTTATGTAGTGTCAATCGGAAGAGGCACAATTTAAAAGAGAAATAACCCTGAAGAAAAAGCCACATGACAAGCTGCCTACAGTAGTCATTCGGCGCGTCTCATACCGCTGCTATGTTCATCGACAACATAGAATTTCGGTATTCAGCTAAGCGATTTCGGATTGTCAATATACCGAAGGGTTGGTTGTAAAGAGGCTGAACGGTGACATATGTATAAAATCGAACCACGGGAAAGACTATCCTGAAAAGTGAACCATATAAATAGGATCAAGCCTATTTTGTCCCATGATTGTATGTTATTGCTTTTAGCCGTGTTGTATACCGAATACATCGTGCTCTTCTATTGCATTTCATTATATGCACCGTAATCCGAAAATCGACTGGGGTTAACCTGCGATAAAGTCCCATTGGATTCAGTGTTTACTCGTTGAACCAGTTTTTTTTTCGATTCGGCACAACCTTTCATGGTTAGCGTTGATAGTATGATCTAGATTGCCAGGTACAATTACTCATATGTTGGTAACCTAGATTTCGACTTCGTCGTTGTCACTGTATGCGGTTCGATTGACTGTTCAAGTCTATCGGCTCAAGGTCCTTACGCAGTTCTCGTGTACAGAAATTGTTTGTTTCTACCATCATTATTATTTGCACACACGTCTGATTTCAGATTGTGTGCCAAACAAATCATAGAGCAATGAAAAGGAAATAGGTCTATGATTTGCTTGTGGGGATGATATTACTAGGTGTCCCAGGCCAAATCAGGTGCATTTTCTTAGGGAATTCACATAAGGAGCCTTCGGCTAATCAAAGCCTGACCCACAAGGCAACAGGGTGGTGTGTGAAAACTGCAATTCATTGGGGAGGGGGGAGGGGAGTGTCCAGCTCATCGGATCATGCGCCCTTTGGATGGGGGTATATCTCTCTAAGTGCCCAATACATCTTAATGCCCAATCGAGCCGTTAACCACTGCCACGATCAGGAAGATGTGGGTGAGTGTGGTTCCTACACCTCCTCTCGGGTGGTTTGGAATCAGCGTTTTTGGCCAACTCCCTTCGATGAACTGCCAGTGATTGATCGACTCGGATAGAGCCCCGGACGTTGGTCTTTCGTGCCCTCTTTATGGTGGGAAAACCGCCACGAGAAGCCAGTGAGTAGGGCTTCCTCAGCAAAGGCTATTTGAGACGCTTGGTCTTACGGGATCATTTCATGAGATACAACGGAGGGGTTACCAGTCACAACCCGAGGCACCCATCCGCGACTACACTGAGGCTTTCGGAAGCAAATCACTTGATTGTGTATCTGCGTGTGAGGGTGCAATGTCGATCTTGCTTAACAATGTGTATCTGAAATAAATGTCAAAGTAACGTGAACGGAACACGGGACGAATCCACTTTGTTTTGAAGCAACGATTCTCAGTAGAAAGAGCTTGCAAATCTGAATCCTTCGTCACGGTTGAACTTAAATCCTCGTAATGGTACTTTGCAATCGCAGACAGAACTTAGCCGTATACAAAGTGCACAGCTATTTTAGACTTGTTGGGTCTTAACGGTAGTGATAATCCGTCCATCTTCAATTCAGAATGTAATTCGGGACCTGGCCTATCCTTTCTCTTTTTGTACATGACAAATTCGAATCGACGAACTAATAAATCCTCCATTGTTCCTTTGTACTATGAGATTAACATATGGGTGCACAGGTATCCTGTGTTACTCGTCTCCTTACTTGTCACCTACATCCCGGATTATCAGGCTGATCAGGTGCGTTTGGATGCTGGGCGGGTATCATAATGTCGATAGACCGACATACATTACTGTGAAAGGTCGATGCATGTGTGTTCGCGGCATGTTAGCGAAAGGCCCGAATTATCTGTTGTACGCCAGACAATCCTTGTGATTGCGAGGTGCTCACCAGCAGTGTGGGACTATTCGTATCCGCTTGAATCGTTGCTACGCGGGTCGCTGAGGTACATCATCTAGGCAGACTTTATATTGTTAGGTTACGAATACCTCAACAGATCTGATTGGTAGATAGTAAGCTTTGGTTAGTAAAATTCAGATCTACTTTATATAACTTAGGTTCGCCGGCTGAACCCCGCCGTGGTCAACTTTCTTTACGGACTGGACTACGTCGCTGCCGGTCTCCTCATTACCTCACATATCTCAGTACGGCTTCTAGCTACTACAACCCTCCTCCTCTGGGCTTAAGTCACCGGTATGCATAGCTGAACAATTTTTTAGGATACTTTCAAATTTACACGTACGATAAATCTAATCTCTTTTTGGCCACCTACATTGGCGAGTAACATATTTGTGGACTGTCAGCAACATTGTATTTGTTTCACAATTAGGTCATTCTATTGTTTCACTCTCTGCGTATATGTTTGTGACGGTTTTCAAATGTGCTTCCTAACAAAACCCTTGTTAAGCTGTTCTTTGCATTAGGAACGAGGTGTACGTCTGTCTGTATGCTTCCCGTGCAGATATATATGCAAATTTATGGAAAATTCCTGTTTCCGGGGTCAACCCACAGAGTTACGCAATTGCAAATGCACAGCATTCTTTTTCGCAGCTTGTTTTTTTATCGTTTCGCAGCCTGCATTCACCTTCATCCAACGGATTTCTTACTCTGTAATATATGCGCTCCTGCTTGCCAAATTACCAGAGGTTGCTGTCTACCTCATATGTCGTGTACTCGACTTTGTTTCTTCTCCAGTCTGTTGCGGTCTCAACTGAAATGGACCACAGATCTGACCTTCAAACCACGCCCTTTCTGTTTGGTTTGACTCGAGTTTGTCCATTTGTTGTTCTGAAACACTCCGGTTCATTTAGTTGCGAATCACTGTTATTTGCACACCATTTACACGCACCACATTTCTTTTGTATACCCCGAATGTATACTAGTCATTGGTTAGTATGCTCCAACCGAACCGGGTCGATAGTTCCACTTTGTGTGGTCGTTGTTTTTGAGTGTTTGAAGTTCTGTTTATTCTTACAAGTTAAAATCAATACTGCTGGAAGTTATCATTTAAGCTGAATTAAATGGTACCCCGAATAGTTCTTGCATGGAATTATGTTGTGTTCAGCCTACTAGAGCCCACTTGATGTGTCGCTCCAAGTACTCTAGTAATTTTTTGATTATTCCCACTACATGCAACGACGAATTGTTTCTCTATGGTAGTAGCACCGAAATGAGGCACAATTGAATTTTCTTTTCATCAACTTCCCATAGATTAATGAATTTTCATTGTGCATATTAGCGCGATGGACAGTTGGACTCATTCCGATAGTAATATTGTTTGTTGTTGTTGTTGTTACAGACAGATCATTTAGTTCCAGGGACTTGTGGTGTGTATGACGTCACCAGTCCCGATCCAAAGTGAACGTGTGTACCATTAAAGTCGGGTTCGATGTGCAGTCCATGAGAATCCCGCCACCATTAATAATGTAATGAAATAACAAAGTTAATTTCTGGACGCAATCAATAAACATCTTCGATATGGATTAGATTTCCAAACACCTTCAGCTGTACTCTAACATAGCTCAGTATTACTCAGTGAACTACATCCCAAGGTAATCACAAGCACAATCCCACTTTCAATGAAGGACGACCAATGTGTCCGGCACCAGCTAGCATAGAACTCAAGTAACAAAAAGTAACTAGCCAGTGACCCAAATCGGTCGGCAGCACACCGCCATGTCACGCTTTGAGTTAGAGAGCGATTACGAGCTCGGTTCGAACCTCAGTCATGATGATTGTTGTCCAACCTCCGATTCAGCCTTTACAACAAACTATAACACTCCACTGGCACTGCTACTCTTCTCCCAGCTACACGAAGTGAGAACACTGATAGTGAACAACAGGACGTTTATTTTGCGCTAGAGGCAAGTCAAACGCAAAGTTTCAACTTTTATGTTTACAGAATATTCTGATTCCTAGACCTAGAGACGTTGAAAAGATAATTACACAAGTGACCTATCAGTAAAGAGAAAAGTTCATAGAAGAGCGAAAGTAATACAAAATTACTTCAAAAATTGATATTTTTTTAATAGAGCTAACACTTTCATCTAAGACGCACATTCTAACCTCAATTGCTATTGTAGACAAATTCTTTTGAACCATTACACTAACTCTTTTCGATCACGGTTGCTTCTTTTCAGATAACTCTGTGGGGGGGGGGGGTGAAAATTTTCTGTGTAAAACCCTGACGTTTATATGGTTATTCCTTAAAATGTAGTTAAAGCCCTTAAATCCTCACACACGGTTGTACACAGTTTTGCACACGGTCATGCTGCATGAACACAGTGTATTCAGTCAGATAAATTAGGTCCTATTCGCCCAAGTTAAGTGTTTGTAAACACACTGGGTATTACGCACAACGAACCGAACAGTGTATTATTGTGACGTTTTGTTCAATACCTGAGGCAGCATGTGTCACAGCTAAAAAATTGTATTGTCCGCAGAATTTCGAGAACCTCCGAAAAATCCTTGACACCTTTACATATACTTGCATAATATACACTACGCGATAGAGAATACAATCAGGAAACTCGAATTGTGACCTTGCTAGGAATCATGATGTCACTTTACTCGTCGGAAATTGATGTGCCCAATTTCTCGATCGCAGAATAACACGTTTTCCTGTTGCACTTTGTGGGTTTTTGTCTTGTGCAGGAATTCATCGAAGAAACTGAAGATCATTGTAAATTTGAGATGACTGTGCCCGCGATTGTCCGGCCAGTGAGAAAACAGTGTACCATCCTGGATCAGAAACACAAAGATGAGGTAAAGCTTACCATTCCAGTTTGTGTATTTCCGTTTTTATTCTGCGATGTCATTGATAATTCCAGTCTTCACTGATTACACGCTGAGCTATTGGACCAACCAGGGTATAGTAGAAGGCATCATCTGACGTTTCTGCTGTGGATTATAATATAGGCTATCAAATGTGTATGGGCATTCATAACTTGAACCATCAGCAGTAAGTGTCAAAGTTTTCTGCTCACCCTTTTTGCTTATAGTGATACTTCTGCAACGGAGCTAGATAGTTCTTGTATTTTGTATCTGCAGGATCCATGTTTACGATGCATGAATGTACCTAATTAAGGGTACTCTTGTGACCCTTACTTTTACGTAACTATCTCCTGTTATAGGCCGAGCCTGTTTCAAATATCTCACGTTTGCGGTCACTCATTGAAGATGATTAAAGGCGGGTTCTAAGCAGATGGTGATCCAGTTTTGACCCCAGCGGTTTGAACCGTAATCTCGGTATAGGTTACAGGACTTGAACACCACATTTTCGATTTCTCCCCTTCCCCCGTAGTACAAGCTAGACATGTCATTGGGGACAAAGCTGACGTTAGAGAGTTTGATGAATTTACATCGTAGTAAGTCAGCAAACCATGACGGCAATGTGTGATGACTGATAGCCGTCGAATACTGAAACCGCAGTCGGATTGCTCTTTGATTCACAATCGGTGTTTTTGTATCATCTTCGTTATTCGTCACAGAAACCAGTTTACTTCCTGGCGGGAACTATGATAAAGAAGGAATCGAAAATGCCAATTTAACGCGTTTGACGTCCCGTATCTGTGCTCAAAACACTTATATGACCATCTGAATTAGTTCAGTTTATGCTTGAATTGTGAAAAGTTCGGTCGTCTCAGTGGGATTTGATCTCCTGCATGGAAGCCGCCTAAGCTGTTGTGTAGTGCTCACTCCAGCAGCTACTAGGCCGCACGGATAACACTGATGTTTTCACATTTGGATCGCCTATCCAACTGACACAGTAATATGGAATGCACCAGGTAGCATTTAAGGGGACTGCCACGACATGTTTTCCTTAAAATCCACAGGATGAACTTTTAAGGCAGGGTTCATTGTTCGATCTACCGAATAACGTAGAAAATCGCTGAGCATTGTTTCACTACACTTGTGGTTGATCTGCAACTATCAGTCGTGTAACACCGTTGAGACTGTTCCATGTTCAGTGCGGAGTAGAACCATTTCATTATTATTTGGTGCTTCCGGAGTTCAATTTATTGGAAAAAGTTTTCCGAAATGGATTATATCCATTCTAACCATAGCTTATTGGAAACAGTTACCTTGGTATGGGACGAACACGCAATTACACGATTTCAAATTTCACCTATGGTTTCATTTCCGTTAAATTCCCGATAGTCGTTGCATCACGTTTCTCTGTGTGATACGAATGATCGCGGTGATGTTGATTGTTCTCCCCACTGTGCATCTGACGTTCTCGATTGGAAATATCTTATATTTTCAAATTACTTCATAACCCTTTGTTGTGCTTACTGGGACCCAGTGTAATATCGCCAATTAGTTGCTGATCGCCCAACCGCCACACATTGTTGTAAGTAACGCAGCGTTTTCCCTTTCACAGTATGCATCGATTCTCGTGCAAGGCTGCGTGAGTGTGATTAATGCTCTACGAGGTTATTGGTTCCTGCTGAAACCGAGTTTTATGATTCCACAAGTCCAGTTCCGGGTTGAGCATAATTGTTTATTAAGAATATTAATAAGGGGTATCGATAAATTGGAGTATGTGGAACAAAATTTCGAATCGGAAAAAGGTCAATCATTACTGCTAAAAGTAACCAGGTCGGAACGGTCCGTTATTGGCTGTACATTGTCTGTAGTTAAGATTACAAATACACTCGTTCGTTTCAGGTGGTATTGATCATTGTGACCAACTGTCAATGACATCTTTTGTCGCACTCCAACCATACTACTTACAAATGAGTAGTACCGCACACTAGTACTTTTGCTGTTTTTACAGCGGAGGGGAGAGGGTTAATATAGACGCACGATATACGTGCATTGTATCACGCTTTAGGTATTCTTCATTATGTTGTTCATTATGAATTTTTCAGATCGGTGAAGTAATTAATTTCCTCTCAGCCAAGATCAATTCAACTGATGTAAATGGAATAGATCTTAAGGGCCAAAAGCCAAGTGGTTTCGTGCAAATCTCGAAGGTTAAAATGTGCTTCTGATGTTCAAAGACGTTGCAGAAATCAAGGCCCTTGAGGAATAAAGTGCAGCGTTTAATTAGGACAGCGATCTCGCTGTACGATGATGATGATGATCGATTCGTTCAGTCTCCGATTGTGTTCATGCGGAAATGTGTCTGACCACTAGTGAATCTCGGTCTTTGTAGAAGTGTCCCTTCCATCTCCTTTATATTTTTAGTATGGAGGGGGCAATACGACTGCTAGAGAGAACGAGGGTTTCCAATGGATAGCATATATCAAATTCGGGTTGATTGTGCCAAGATGAGTTTAGTTTTGTTTTATGGAAGTTCAAAGGAGAATCGCGACAATGCATGGGGCAAAGACCTTTGAAGAAGAAGAAGAAGAAAGCATTCTCGCGAATCGTTACACAGACAGACTTCACTTTGATTAGTTTATCTGAAAGAGTGAAAGGCAGAACGGGAGTACATCTTAGGTATTAAGAGAAACAGGCAGTGATCCCGAGTTGAGATGGGAGCATGAAGACTAAGCGAGAAAATTCAGGAACAAACAATCAATACCGTTACATGAATATTAATAGTTAACTTCTGTTTTTCCACTCCGAATAGTATTTTTCTTTTTTTAATTTCTTTTTCCTTTTGTTAAGTTTACAAAGATACAGTTTTCAGGAAAGGGAAGCGGCCACTTAAAGGGCTGCCATACAGCAAATGATTGGGAACGTCATGGGGTGGTAGTGGTATTCGAACACACGTCCTCCGGGGTAATAATTTGGTGATGTTACCACCGGGTTACCACCGCCAATTGATGTAGGTGACCTGTACTACTTCAAGTTTTGTTGCTGCAGAAAGCAGTTGTATCGGTACAAATTAAGCACAAACGTGTCCGCGACATATGGTTTCAGCCGTGATTCTTGTATTCTCTTACCAAAGTCAATAAACCGTTTTTTAGTTGATGCGTGCTTTATGAGTCAACTACAATATGCTTTGATTTTTATAACATTTCCGTATTGTTATCGGATACCCAGAAACCTCTTCAGCGCTTTAACCATAGGCCAGACCTTGCTGACTATAAGCTTCAAACATATCTTCTGTCATGTTTGACATAGTATTTATATCCATCCTCTCAATAGCAACTTTCAAGTCCATTCCTTCCTTCCTCCTCCCCGTACCCCAGAAACTGCCGTATGAAGTTGGGATTCTTCGCCAGTTCCCGTTCTCCTCCAGTCTGCAACGAATGTCAGTGATTGCACGGGTCCTAGACAGTTCGCATTTCAGCGTGTACACCAAAGGTGCTCCAGAGACAATTGAATCCCTGTGCCGACGTGACACGAGTGAGTTTGCCTACGGTCACACAATCGTTCCATTCTCCAAACGCAAAACCAAGTGTACTTGATGGACATGATCAAACTATCTCTTCTTCTCTCTGTAGTATGTCAGTTTTGCGGGTTGTATGGCACTGTGCCAGGGAATCGTATGGATCACACATCAGCAGACCGATCTGTCGTCTCGTTTTTTCTTTCTATCCTCCTTCTTGGTGTCTTGCTCTTGCCCATTGAACGCTTCCCTGTTTATCCCCTCATCCCCGATCAAAACAGTTCCGTCAGATTTTCACTCTCTTCTATTGGATTACACACGGGAGGGGTATCGAGTTCTGGCTTTGGCTTGGCGCCCACTTAAAATCTCCTACACGCGTGTGCTCAAAATTCTACGGGAACGAGTTGAACAGGATTTGCTGTTTCTCGGTCTGTTGGTGATGGAGAATCGGTTGAAACCTGAGAGCGCTTCAATCATACAGGTGCTCCGGAATGCTAATATACGACCGATCATGGTAACCGGTAGGTACCTGGTATTCTCTGAACCTTGTTCGACTTTCGCCTGTTTTCGGTCTCTCTTTCGGATTCGCATTTGCACACAGTGCAAACTTCATCTGTGACCTACCGATTATCTTTTTTGCTTAGACTATACTTTGTCTGAATCTATGTTGTCCGCCAGGTATCTAAAGACGATGTTTTCAATCATTTTTCATACCATGACAAGATGCATGAGATACAAAGTAAAATATATAAAACCATATTCATAGGAACTACTGTACAATGGGGATGCGGATTTTTCATCCAGAACACAACTCGTTGATTCTATCCCTAAATATAGAGAGGTTATGACAGGGGGAGGAGAAACCAGAGGTCCGGGGAAAAAGTTTCCAAAAGCCATGGTTCGACACGTTAACCCGTACTAACTCTCGAAATAACTCCATCAACACAACCGTAAATTTTGCAGTCAAAAAGAAGTTACGCATTGAAGTGATGAAGTATGCACAGAGTCCTAACTTGTGTAGTGTCGCCGGAAATAGCCTTATGTTTGAATCTCTTCATAGTCGAAGCATAAATTTTCATGAAATCTAGGTGTTTTTTCAGTGATGAATTCCGTAGAGTCAAACGAAAAATGCTGCTGTACAATACGAGTTATTTTGGTGACCCTTACCTCGTGGACACATGCTGCAAACGCGTTAACATACAGGCTTATTCCATGAATGACTCAGCTTTCAACCGACGCGTGCTGTGCTCAGTAGTTTTCGCAGCCAACAAAACATTGTCAGTGAACTTTATCTCCTGAAGGTCGTTTGTTTATTTTTGGTTCAGTCATATTTCTGAATTTCGATGTATTGATAATAAAACCTGCTCAGGTTGAATTAAACGGTTTTAGTTGACCGCGAAATGCTAGTACATTTCGTACATTCCCTAGTAGTACGTTATCTTATTGAAGTCACTGTACTCACATATCTCTGGTCGGGTTAGGGCTAAAAACGAACTAATTAGACTGTCCTCACCAGAAGCGGCGTTCGTCAAAGATGCCCAATTTCGCCATTACTGTTCAATTTCATCGTAGGTGAAATACTGGAGAACGCTTTCGGTGGTCTCCAAAACGTAGATCTTGAATGGGCAGCTGGAGAAAAGCTTTGCCATTTGGAATACGTTGATAACATCGTTTGTCTGTTTGAATGTTTGAAAGACGCGCAAAACGCAATTGATAGACTAACAAGGGCTGTTAACACATTCGGTATGTGCTTTGCACCTTCAAAGTGCGAAGTGATGCTCCAGGACTGGATGTCGCCTACTCCGGCGCTGAAACTAAATGACCAATGACTAGTTGCAGTGGATTACTTTTCCTACCCAGTTAGTTGTGTGACCAATGACGGTAGCGTTGCGAAGTGGATAATCGCCCGCATTTTCAAGGCCCGAGAAGCGTACGCAGGACTGAAAATCTTTGACGTAGACGCTAAGTTGCACTGACCGGTTGTGTTTATTTGGCTACTGTCCGTTCTGTTCTGCTATCTGGTTGTGAGACCTCGAGTTTGCGATTGGAAGATGCTGATCGACTAGAAGTTTTCGGTCATCAAGGTTTACGTAGTTGAACCCAGGTTAGATGGTGCGAACAGGTTAGTAATCTGGAGTTAAACTGTCGTGTATTTGGGAGTTTTTCAGAGAACACCTTGCTAGTTCAGCGAACTCGGATTAATTGGCTAGGACACTTATTGTGTATTCCCAGCTGTCGTCTGCCGCACCGCTCTTTGTTCGCTGTAGCCGCTCCGGGATGGGGAAATCCCGTGGAGGTAACAGATGCCGTGGCGACGATGTATGAAGAAAGAAAAACTGTTAGGTAGAGTAGGTGTCTCGCACCTTCCAGTTTCGGTTCGGTTGGAGACATTGAAGGATTTGGCAGCGAACCCACATTATTGGCGTTCTTGTTATTTCTTATCAGGCCAGAATGCTTGAAACGGCATGTATACAGATTTTGATTGTGTACTCTGTGTATTGATCGTAGACGATTACCTTCCCCTGTTGACCTTAAATTTTACCACTAACTTTGTATGCATTGCAAGTTTGGTAGTGGTTGCTTCACTGGTTTTCGCTGTATGATGTTGATGATGATGTTGTTGGTGAACCGTTTTCTGTCGCCCATTTTTGTCATCCCTCTCTCCCATCGGTATTTTGTTCAGGCGATAACATGCTCACCGCGGTATCCGTCGCTCGGGATTGTGAAATGATCGATGAATTAGATCGCATTGTGATCGTGTCCGCAAAGCCACCACCACCACCGCCATCGATTAGCACGATGAGCACAATCGTCGGGGATACGTCAAACGGAATGAACCACGGAGATTATCAGTACTCTCATGTGGCATTTGTCACGCACCCCAGCGACGGTGACTCCAGGCTCCCCGGTCCAGCCATGCCTGTTCTCTCCGGTGTCCGTTTGCATGATGCACACACAGAGCCATTGGTTGAGTTTCACTATGCCGAGGATTTACACAAACCAGTGACTGAAGTCACAGCCACTGACGGTGTGTCTTCCCGCCAATGGCATTCGAAGCATCGACGTGGCACTGCGGGTCTGCTCTCAGCACTCCGAATCAATGTGTCAAACAATAGAACTTGGTTCCGACGTCGCACACATCATTGCATTGTGTGAGTTTCATTTGCCTTAAAAGTTGTGGGAGTGTGATGTCCGCGTTTTTATGTGTAGCCTTCAACAGACACTCTTCTCTTTTGTCCTATTTTCAACGGTGTCTCTGTTTTAATATTGCTATTATACTATTTATCTAGGTCATTGTTATACGGTTCCCAATCACCTTGTCCTCACGAGTTTCCATTCTCAGTTCCAGAATTTCAAGTGGAAGGAGCCACATTTTGAAGCCAGCAGGTAACGAGAGTCTGGTTGTTGGACTGTCTCCTTCAGTTCGGGGTTCAAAGACCGATGACCAGATTTGTGGAAGTAAACAGTAATAAACCAGTTGGCTGTAGCTGAACAACTGAAGTAGCTGCCGGTGTCGCTAATTTGGTTTTAACATCTTGCTTTGGAACTTCATATTCATCAGCAGACTTGAGTTTCGAGCAACTTCGCAGTTGCTCTGTCTCAATATCAGCTTAATCTATTCAGGGGCTCGTGTGGTTCTTCAGTTGGAGTTCGACTGGTTCGGTTATTCGACAGTTTATCCCAGTAACAATGAAATTTTCCCCGCGGTTGTTCATTATCCATTCTTACTCAATCGTAATTGCTTATTTGCAGATTATTGCGTGTACTCAATGGTGCAATCCGGTTTGTGCTTCCTACTTTGCACAAACGGTTATAATTTTTTGTTGAGAATTTAACCACCACCACCACCGCGCCATGTCATTTTCGATGCCTGATTCATGGCCTGTTTACATCCGTTTTCATTCCAGTAAACATTCTCACAAACTAGATGATCTGTAAGTTCTCCGTGTGCGTTAACTGGCTACCTGTGCACACGCACATACAATTTCTTTCAGCAGCCCCCCCCCACCGGACCGTCTTCTTTGTACTATATACCAATCCATCTCTGTGTGTTTGACCTCACAATGCTTTGTGTTCATCCGCTTCCTCGTGCATTCCACCGCGGAAATATTGCCGTTATTTCCCACACAATCATCTCGAAGAATTCAGTCTTCATCCTCTGTCCAAATATTCATCGCGTGGAGCTATTGGAATTCCGATTTACCGTCTGTGCTGGTTAGGCATCAGAGTACTATCATATGCAGGGGCTAACCTCAGAGAAGAAACTCGTTCAAACAGGACCGTCTCACTGGTCATTCGGTCTGATAAAATACTAACTCATACCACCTGCTTGTTTGCTGTTGTGCCTAGGTGTGGATCAGTCATGGATTCAATCGATTAACTTCACGGTAAACTCATTCCTACTAGGTCAAAACCTGTGAAGGTGCATGCTTTAACTTGAAACCAGCTTTCTAACAAGAATTGTGCTATACCAACAATACACTGAACGAAGCAAATCCAAATAAATGCATGAGGGATAAGTGAGTAATGTGGCTGCGTTCTGCCCGTGAGGTTCCGAGTTCCATCTTCAATTAGGTCGGTCAATTCGGATAGCTAATGGTGCCGAGTGGGAATAAAACAACTGAGTCGCGCTTCCCGGCTTTTCTTTTCACTCTGTAAGTAGAGCATTCAATTTCGCAACTGAACCATGTCTCCTCCATGTCATCCTTTCTAAACACGTTTTTCCGTCATGACAGTCGACTAATGACGCGTAGCTAAGAGACCTTAATTCAACACCTGTATGTAATTTGGCTGTGTGAAAAATTACACGGCTTTCAGGCGCACATCCAAGACTCCTTGTCAGTCTCACAGATGGAGGAGCTTTACTCGTTGCGGTACGGTATGGTGGACGGGTAAATGTTGTTTCATT